CATAGATTGGGAGTTTAGTTTGTGCATTTGAAGCCTCTTGAAGCCGGCTTCAAACTGCTGGCTAACAAGCCGCATCAACACCGTCCAGTTGCGTGTGTGCTTCGGGCTCTTCGCTTTTGGCAGGACAGTTTGAAGTTTATTGAATCACCTGGGTACATAGCTCATGGGTAGAACGACTCCAAAGCCGTGGAATTCCAGAGTTCCGAATTCCCCATGGATCTTCAACCAGATCCCCACAGCTTAAACCCCATGCCCCTAAACGGGTTTAGGGTTTAGGCTTTAGGCTTTAGGGTTTAGGCTTTAGGGTTCGGGTTTAGGGTTTAGGGCTTAGGGTTTAGGGCGAAACCCCATGCCGCTAGACCCTAGAACTCTGGCAGGTGCCGCACCCTCGACGTCCAAAGTGCTGCGAAGGAGCCATCGGGAAGCCTCCCCAGGCGGGCTTCTTCCGGAGACCCCTTTTGCCACAGGACCCAGGAGACCCCCAAGAAATAATCCCAACTACTTCGGAAAGGGTTTGTCCTGTCATAATGCCCTTTTCCCAACTTCGGAAAGGGTTGGGCAAGATGATCTCAAGCATCTTCTTTCACTAAGGGAAGCTACCATCCTCCTACTTTAAGGGTCCTGTCATAATGCCCTTTTCCCAACTTCGGAAAGTGTTGGGCAAGATGATCTCAAGCATCTTCCTTCACCAAGGGAATTTGAGGTTGTTTTTTGGGAAACTTGTGATCCCGCTTCTGACGAGGGCGATTGCAAAGATTGAACCCCATACTCCCGGAATCGAATCGGAAATCCTTTTATGCCCCTAAACCGTGAGCCTTAAACCCTAAATCCTAGACCCTAAACCTTAAATCCTAAATCCTACATAAACCCTAAACTCTAAACACTAAATCCTAGACTCTAAATGCTAACCCCTAAACCTTGAACCCTAAACCCTAAACCCTAAACCCTAAACCCTAAATCCTAAATCCTGAACCCTAAACCCTAAACCCTGAACCCTAAACCCTCTTTCACCAGAGTCTTGGGATTCGGAGTACGTGGCTTGTGGGATTGGACTGCGAAGCTCAGGACATGGTCAAGGTTTGCTGAAGGGATCCGCGGGAAGAGGGGTAACTTGGTGTTCTTCTGGTTGGCTCTTAGGACTTTAACTTTTTGGGTTTCTATATGAACTATATTCAGGATGCTAAAAGTTTAACTTTTCGGAGGGGTTCAGAAGTCAGTCAAGGTTTGTTGAAGGGATCCGCGGGAAGAGGGGTAAGTATCACCCATATGGGTGGTTGTCAAAATTAGGGTCCCTTTTTGGGTCCTTATTTTAATACGGCACCTATTATTTAGGGTACCCCAAAAGGGACCATAATTTTGACAACTACCCATATAGACAGGTACAAAAATAGGAGTTACCATCATGGTTTGGGTAAGGTGTAGGTTTAGGTTCTAGTTCTAGGGCCTGAGAAGTAGGAATTACCAGTCATTCGCTAAATCCCGAAACCCTAAACCCTAAACCCTAAATGACCAGTCATTCAGCACAAGCAGGTGATCCGGGCCCTTGCTACTCCTCGCGTAGCCTGAGGCCTCCTGGGCCGGAGTTTGGTGCTGTTTATGGGGTTTTGGGTTTAGGGTTTAGGGTTTTTCAGGGTGTAGAGTTCAGGGATTAGGGATGGGAGTTTCCCCTAAACCCTAAACCCTAAACCCTAAACCCTGAGCCCTAAACCGTATCGCGAGGTGTCCCGAGTTGGTTCAGCCTGAGCCCCCAAACCCTACCAACTAGATCTAAAGGGCCTAGGTCCCACTTCGGGTCTAGCATTACTATGATTTTGGGTTCAGCGTTTCAGTCGCAGGTTTGAGGTTGTGTACTAAAGCCCGAACCCTGAACCCTAAGCCTTTAAGCCGAAAGTTCTACAAGTTCCAAGCAGGAAGTGTACTTAAAAGTTTAAAACAAAGCCTCTCAACAAGCGTAGGGGCGTCAGGGTTACTCTAAACCCTACTTGGAGGCCCTTTTGACTTAGTAAGTAGGGTTAGTAAGGTGGGTTATGGGGATTATANNGGGTTTCTAGGGGATACTAAGTAGACTTACTAAGTCAAAGGGGCCTCCAAGTAAGGCCCTAAACCATCGCTTAGGTACGAGGATTTTTGAGGCTTCGAAGATGGCGTTTTGTCGGAGATTCAATTTGCTTGGTTTAGGGTTTAGGGTTTAGGGTTTAGGGTTTAGGGTTTATCTGCTTTGTGTCTCTGTTGTTTAGGCTTGGAGTTTAGTTTTGTCTGGGTTAGGGGTTTAGCGATTCGGCCTCCTCTTGTTTTCGGGTTCAGGGTATGTCTCGGCAACTCCTGCCTAGAGTAGAGGCACGGAGGTATGAGCCTTGCCAGTGTTTGCAATATGAACCCTAAGCCCTAAACCCTAAACCCTAAGCCCTAAAACCCTAAAGCCTGATATGGTCTTCAGGACATGTACCACAACCTGCTTGAACCCACTGCTACGAGGGTTCAGGGTTCAGGGTTTGAGTGTCGAGTTTGTTTCCGAAACGCAGGTTATACTGGATGACTGCTGAGTCTTGAGAGTGTTTGCATGTTCTAGCCTAACCCTAAGCCCTAAACCCCAAATCCAAAATCCTGGACCCTAAACCCTAAACCCTTAAAGGATCCTTCGAAGGAGACCGAAACGCTAAAACCTTTACAGAAACCCTAAACTCTTAAAGGACCCCATAAGGGAACCTCGAGCAGACCAGGAATGATGACCCGCTGTCCCGGACCTTTGCTTCGGGTGAGGTCGAGAGTTGCGGCCTCGGACGTATGTCGGAGTTTAGGGTTTAGGGTTTAGGGTTCAGGCTTGAGGGTTTAGGGTTTAGGGTTGAGGGTTTAGGGTTTAGGGTTGAGGGTTTAGGGTTCAGGGTATAGGATAGTGCAGTAAACGATGATCGAGTCGAGTATATCGTCGTAGAGAGTAATACAAAAATGGGGGTTATAGGGGTTCTTATGGGTCTTACAGAACTTCTACATCGTTTTAGGCTGTGCAGAGGCTTCTGAGGTTTCTTATGCAGGGGTTTATGGGTTGCATCATGTTAAGGGCCTATGTCAGGTTTATAGAGGTTTATCGTACATAAGGGGTTTTGTTTGCAGAGGCCTCGAAAAAGCCATTCCGTAGGGTTTTTTGTAGGGCTTCTACTGGGTTCATACGGTGTTCACGGGCCCTAAACCCTAAACCCTAAACCCTAAACCGTGCACACGTGTGCCGGTTCCGGGTTGACGCAGAGTTAGGGTGTCCGAGAGCAGGAGCGCTTCTGCGCAGGGTCTCGAGTGCAAGGCGCCTCGAAGCCCTGTTCGAATTGTTAGGGTTTAGGGTTTAGGGGTTTAGGGTTTAGGGTTTAGAGTTAAGGCCCCTGCATTATGGGACCCGTTTCGTGGTCCTTTCAAGAACCCTCTTTTGAAAAAAAGCCCAAGGCTAAACCTCAAAGCACTATACTCCAAAGCCCGAAACCCTCAGTTTAAAACCCTAAACCCCAGCCTTAAAGCCTCAACCCTGCACGATCTGCAGCACCTTTCCCAGGTGCGCAGGTCCTGTGCGCGCCACGGGAGACCCCATCACCCAGGCAATTGGGTTGCTTTCACGAGTTCCCTTTTAAGGTTTGAATCTGGGCTGCGGTAGGGTTCTAAAGGGGTTCCAACGGGTTTAAGGATTTTAGGGTTTTGGGGATTTCAGGCTTGATGCTTTGGGGTTCGATCTAATGAGGAGTCACTGCCGCTGGCTGTCATCACTGCCCTCACCATCGCCAGAATCGCCATCATCGCCCACGGCATCCCCAGCTGAAATCCAAACCCACTAAACCTAAACCCTAAACCCTAAACCCCTAAGCCCTGAATCTTAAAGCCTGAGGCCCTAAACCCTAAACCCTAAAAAATGCCCTAAACCCCTCTAAACCCTAAAAAATACCCTAAACCCTAAACCCTAAACCCTAAACCCTAAAAGCGCTCTACGTGAGGCCCCAGGTCCGCGTCGCCCTGCCTCCCGGAGGAGGCCTGGCCTAAGGAAGCCGGGCTTTGGGTTTAGGGTTTAGGGTGTACATAGGGTGTAGGGTTTAGGGTTTAGGGTTTAGGGTTTAGGGCTTAGGATTTAGGATTCAGGGCTTAGGGCTTTGGGTTTAGGGCTTAGGGTGTAGGGTTTAGGGTCCCTTAAACACGAAACCCTTCAAGCCTAAACCCTCAAAGACCTTGAGACTCCGAGACCCCAAACCCCAAACCCCTAAACCTAGGACGTTTTCAGGTGGGTAGTTACCGTTTTAGGAGCCTGAAAGAAGGTCTATATACCTTATGGAAGCCTTTTAGAAGCCCTATATACCCTAAACTCCCCACCTGTAGTTTCCTTTAACTAAAAGCCCCCCAGGTTTCCTTTAAGGAGTTCTTATCAGGGCTCAGAGTTTAGGGTTGAGGCTCCTAAACCCTATAAGCCCCTTGTAGAAACCCATGGTAAGCCCTTTAGAACCCTAGCAACTATCAGCCCCTTATAGAAACCCTTGGTAAGCCCTTATAGAACCCTTAATGAACCTATAAGCCCCTTGTAGAAACCCGTGGTAAGCCCTTATAAAAGTTAGCAGAACCCTTGCCCAT